ATATTTTTACTAATGGTGTATCGTAGAAATTTAATATTACTTTATGCCTTGTATAAAGTAATAGGCAGCTTTTAAATTTATTATTTATATTATTTATCATGTAGGTAGGTACCTTAAGTTAAAATTGTTATTTGTAAATAATTTATTTGTAAAATGTATTGACATTTTGAATAGAAAGTGCTATTTTTAGTCCTTAGTAGTACATGCTCGAACCACAATACACATAAGTGGTACGTGAAAAAAACTTTTGAGAATCTCTGAATTCTGATCCAAGGTGTTCCTAAGGAATGCTAAGTGTGTAACATATAATAATATAATATATTATATATTAAGTAATTCGTAAGTGTATTGTGTATTACGTAGGTATACCATATACGTACCTATATTGGATTTTAAATAGTTTTTAACTTAGTTTATATTTTTTTGTAATACCTACCTATTGGCTATTAGGTATAGGAGTTTTACTAATTTTAGAATATTATCATTTATTATAGACATAGGCAGTAGGCACGTAACTTTATTATACTGTGTCGATTTTTTCCGTGTCGTTTTTTTCTGCGATTCCTTATATTATAGGTATCTTCAGTGATGGATTTAGCCTAACTAAAGTGGTGCTTGGTCGCTGGAGCACCAACATATTATTGAACTTTTTTTTTTATTAGAAATTACTAAGATATTAGTCATCAAGTAGAACTAAATGGACACATACTAGTTGCGGACGAATTATTCAGGTTAGGAATTATAATATAACAATTGCGGACAAGAGTTTCGTTGTCATAATACTAATTGCGTACAGAGCTTTTTTTAATAAAAACTACTTTAGTTGTGGACACAAATATTTCCCTTCACCACTTTTTCAGGACTTATGACAAAAGCTAAAAAAAAAATTGGTAGGTGGGGTTAAAAATATTTGTGTCTTGCAAAAGAGTAATCGTTATTTTTAAAATGTTGTTGAATTATAGATTGTTTTAATTTTGTGGAAAAAATTGTTTATAAAATATTTATAGATTATCGTCATAGTTTTTAAAACAGCCTGTATATATGATATTCTACTGAATTCACCACGTGAATATTGCAACATTATCCGCAATTAGTATCTTATATTTAATATTTGTGTCCGCAATTCGTATGTTACCTACCTTTTTAGATTTCGTCCGCAACTCACATGGTTTTTGTCACTTTGTCCGCAATTCGGAAACACCGAACTAAATTTATTAATTATAGACTGTAGTATATATACCAAAAATTATGTTAAATTTGTTTTTACCCCAAAATTGTTAATGATAAGCAGGTACCTAGTACCTACTTAACATAATACATATTGAGCATTAATACATTACTGCATCAGTAGCGTATATAGGAATTTTCAAGAGGGTTATATTATATAATTTTAAATAGACATTCAGTATACCTACACATATTAATATATTATATTCATATTATTATATACATGTTCTATTGTTTACAAAATTTGGTCTCGGGGGGGGGGGATATGATCCTCATGTTCCCCCTCCGTAGATACGCCACTGTAGTGCATTATTATCAAAATAGGACCCACCATAAGAAAAATCCTAGATCCGTCATTAATGGGACCTACCTAAGTTGTATAAAATGTTATAATAACGTATGTCGTAGACAGTTATAAATTTATAATATTAAATAAAATCTTATACCAGATAGGTAATTAATTTAAAGAAAAACAATAATTATTTCGAAAATTATTGCTAACCTTTCACAGAAATATTGGAAATTTGAATTCATACTGAAAGTAGGAGAGTGTGGTTCTTGGACTAATAACTATATGTATAGGTACAATCATTTTTACACTCTAAAATGAGAAGTGGTTAATTTTATTACTATGGTTTTATTTGCTGCAATGGTAACTAATTAAATTGGAATAAAAAATAATTCTCGGAATCATTATCAACACTTATGAGTATTGTGATATACCAATATTACTAATAACTATTATTCATTTTAACTAAAAGCCATAACCAAAATGCTGCCAAGTACTAAGTATTCAGTATTTGGGTAACCACTCTGGCACTCAGCTGCTATACAGTAGATATAGAACAGGTACCTATCTATAGAGTACCTATTCGACTATTCGAGTTGATACACTCATGACGAGTAGTACCGTCATAAAGTAGGGTTCTCTTATAGATGTAAGAATCTATTAGAATTTAATGATAAATAATTTAATACGATTAACTACTCTGAGGAGATTCTCAGACCTCAGGTCCTTCAGTTTATAACACTAACTACTAAGTACCTACCTAATATATTTTATTATATACTTACGAATTACGAGTATATAATATAGGTGCCTAACCATTGGCGCAACTAGGGGGGGGGGGTGCTTCGGGTCCTTAGCACCCCCTAAAAAATCGTTAGGTGTTAATTCTCATTGAATCACAAAAAAACCTGGAGCTTAAGCGCCCCCTAGTTCAAATGTCTAGTTGCGCCAATGTGCCTAACTCCTACTGCTATTTTTAATAATTAATTTTACTATTAGCAAACAGCAATACATTAATTTTTGCCAAAAACATAATATGTATTATTATATTATTAATTATTAGGGCTTAGCCTCTATAGTTTTATTTAAGCCCCATCATTTTTTTGGGGATATCCCGAGTGCGTCCTCGGTCTACAGCTGCTTTAGGTATCTATTTAAGATATTTTAACACTGGAAATGGTGGGAAATTAATTTTAGCTCCGATAATAATTTTGCATGATTACAAGTTAAAACTTATACTCAGTTATGGTCAATACCTAAGTGCTATAGTGAAATTTGTGGGCGAAGTGTAGTGCCGTAATATTATATAATACAAATTGTCAATTTGCAAATTTTCAAAATGCCATTGCCCGAAAACATGCTAAGTCAACACGGTAAGGAAATACAAATTATTGACGGGTATAAATTAAGATTTCATAAAATATTAAATAATAATGTAAGACGATGGAATTGTACAAACAAAAAGTGTAAAGCATATTTGAAAACCGATGAAAGTGGAGATTCTGTTATAGAGAATAAATTAGATCATAATGACCATGAAAAAGAGGTACATGACATTATGGTTAGACAAGTTATTCGTAATTCATTAAAAAGAAAAGCACAGGATGAGATTTGTGAACGGCCACTTAAATTAATACATCATGAACTAAAGAAAATTAACACAGATGTCAGATACATTAAATAAAACTGATATGAATTGCTTTCGCAAAAGTATATATTTGGCAAGACAATCAAAACTACCAGCAAGACCATGTAATGTACAAAATGTACATGAAGTATTGAAGTATTGGATTCGTTAGAAATCAAAACTTATGACGATGAACAATTTCTCATGGTAAATGACAGTAATCTAAATATAGTTATGTTTTCATGTAAAAAAAAATTAAATACTTTAAGTACTGTTAAGACTATATATGTAGATGGTACTTTTAAGTATTGTACTACATTTTTTTTACAATTATTTAAAATACACGGCTTAAGTAATGGTCATTGCATACCTTTAGTGTATTTTTTACTTAATAATAAAGAATGCGAATCATATTCAAAATGTTTTAATATATTAAAAACTGAATGTTTTAAATTAAATTTATGTTGTTCTCCCGAATATATATTTGCGGTTTTTATTCTAAAATTATCAATAAAATTTTATTTGTTGGTTTCGAAAACTTTAAAATTGAATAGAAGGCTCCTACTATATTGTTTCAAAGGCAGATGAAAAATATTAAACATCCTTAGTCACAATTTTTTTTTATAAACATCTAAAGTTTAAAAATTGACAAAATATGGAAAAATCACGAAAGTTATCAAATTATTTTGAGTTAAGAATTCTTAAGAATTTTTCTTTTTAAATCTAAGATTTGAAAATGTAATACAAGATTACTCATAAGTTTGTCTACCGTTATCAATAAAAAAATCTCTACCGGAAAATCAAATTAAATTTTTATGAGCGTTTGAAATTCAAATTTTTAGAACATTCTGATATATTGTTACAATAGCAATCGAAAAATATTAAAAATACATATAGGCACAATTTTTTTTTATAAGCTTTTAAAGATCGAATTTTGACAAAATTTATCAAATTTAAAATTGAATAATTATTTTGTAGTTAAAAATGTATAAAATGTTCAACTTTTTATCTAAGGATTGAAAATTTAAAACAAGATTCCACGTAAGTAATTAATTCTGTTACCAAAAAATTTAAAAAATACATACCTAAGCACAGTTTAATTTATAGTCATTTTAAGTTCAAATTTGGATGAAATTACATAAAATAAACCTAGAATAACTATTTTAATTATTTCGTCGTGATTGTATAATATTATTCGTGGCCCGTGGGTGTGGGTACTTGAAATTTCTAAAGTACACTATTATATTTATATATCTATGATAGTATCAGGGTTTGTTATTGATGTATAACACGTTATAAGTACCTAATGGATATTGTGATATGATTAATTTGGAATTTATTATAGGTACCTATAATAGGTCAATTTTTTTAATACCATAAATAAATAAATAAGTATATAATATGCCTTGTACGGGTTATACCTAGACTGACATACCGTCTCCGCTCAGAATCGTTTTTCCTGTACAATGATATTATATCATTGAATTCAAATTTAATACTATCCATTATACAGTGATCCACTTGTAACCTACTGTACAGCAGAGCACCTTTAAATATATTGATTTTCCTCGGAAATACTAAGGGTGATACTGGACTTCTGGGACATACTGTATACATAACAAAACAAAAAACCCATTGTAAAATGAATGTACTTATCGTTTTGCTCAGAATCTCAAATATAATAGATGATAATAATTTATTATTCAACTAATCAGTAGTTAAATTATAATTTATATAATAAAATATATGTGTGTTTGAGGTGAATATAAGATAAATAAATATTACATTTAGAACTATTGTCACTTGTCATTTATTTACTCCAATAAAATTAATATAAAATTATTTTTTCTTTTGTTTTTATTCTTTAATTTCATCCTCATCAATTTGTATATCAGCAACACCCTTGCAGTGTTTTTTTGGCCCTGAAAAAAAATTTAATTTTGATACAAATAGTTAATATTTTTTAGTAAATATACATCAGTGTCATAACTCATAATTTTAAAATGGTTTCTAGTGTTTATACCTTAGATCATATACTTCAAATGTCCAGATAACTCAACGTACATATTAACAACAAGTCTCTGACTGTGATTCTAATGTGAAAAGAATTTTTACATGCTTATCACTTATCTGTATGAATTGTTGTAAATAAATAAATATAAACCAACAGCTAAATACGCAATGGTTCGCCTCACGCATGCGCACATCAAGTATCTCAGTCAACCTTGTCTAATATATGTGCTTTAAATTGTTTATTTATACAAACAAATGACAATTGCTCAATCCCTAGTATATTAGTATATAATCTAAGGTTTCTACTTAAACCTTTTTTGTCATGTATGTGATGTGAGTATTCCATGTATTTATTTACTAAAATAACAGTACCCAGTATGGCATGGTTCAGTAAGTAGTCCATGCCATTCCAAGCTACATATCAATATAAAAGTATATCTATAAAGTTTGAAAATGTTTTGTACTACTAGTACATAGGCGGACATTTGGTTAAAACCAATCTAAATAAATGCCGCACCACAATTACTAGATAGTGTGTCCCAAAAGTCCCGTATCACCCTTAATATCTCCATGTAAAATCACTATATTTAAACGCGGTTTTTTTTACAGTACTAAGTATGAAAATTCTGATTGAATGGCATAAAATTCATTTATTTTTTTCTCTAAATTCAAAAATTTTCAGCATTTACGAATTTAAGAATTAAAAATTTTTAAGATAGCCATTTTGTTGAGCATATTTTTTAAAACGGTTCAAAAAAAAAAAAATACTAAAATTAAATACAAATTGACCAAGTTAGAGCAAGTTATGTTTTTGAATAATTTTAGTAAAAAAATAAATTAGGAATGTAAAAGTATTGTCGTGTGCTGAAATAAGATATTTCATTATTGAAATGTGAAACAATAATTTATTTTTTTACTACAATTATTCAAAAACATAACTTGCTCTAACTTGGTCAATTTTTATTTAATTTTAGTATTTTAGATTCTGAGTGAAACGATGAATGTATTGATTTTACAATGATGTGTGTTTATTTATTTTTTTTTTATTTTTTTTGTGTCTGTGTACACGATAAGTAGTCAAAATAATGCTTCGATTTTCAACTTCAGTATCTTGTTCGATTGGAAAGTGAATATCGTTGGTGCATTGGGGAGGTCAAAATTTAAAATTCACAGTACTTTTCAAAAGCGCCAAGAAAAACAAAATAAAAATTAAGGAAAAACGGGAATTTTTACGCAAAATCGATTTTTCAGAAAATTGAATTTGGTTTTTGGTGTAACTTTAAAACAATTGACCGTAGATACATGAAATTCTCACAGGTTGTTTATATTTGCATTTTCTATACATGATAACATTTTCAAAATATTTTGATTTATTTTGAACTGTTTAGGGACATTTTCATTTTTCATTTTTTTTTAGTTTTTTTTCTAGAAATATCAATAAAATTTTATTTGTTGGTTAAAAATACTTGAAAATTTAATAGAAGGCTCCTAGTATATTGTTTCAAAGGCAGATGAAAAATATTAAAAATCGTTAGTCACAGTTTTTTTTTATAAGCATTTAAAGTTCAAAAATTGACAAAATATGGAAAAATCACGAAAATTAGCAAATTATTTTGAGTTAAGAATTCGTAAAAATTTTTCTTTTTAAATCTAAGATTTGAAAATGAAACACAAGATTCCTTATAAGATTATCTACCTTTATCAATAAAAAAATCTCTACCGGACAGTCAAATTAAATTTTTATGAGCGTTTGAAATTCAAATTTTTACAACATTGGATATTCACTCGATTACTCATGTAGCGATTTCTTTATTTTGTTGCAATTCAAAAACGAACAACTGTAGATACATGAAAATTTCACTGAATGTTTAAATTAGCATTTTCTATACACCATACAATTTTGAAAATATTTTGACTCTTTTTGAGCTGTTTATGGACATTTACAGATTTCAATTCTTTTTAGTTTTTTTTTCTATAAATATCAATAAAGTTTTATCTGTTTGGCCAAAAAGTGTAAAAATTTAATACAAGGCTCCTGATATATTGTTACAATATCAGTTAAAAAATATTAAAAATACATAGGCACGATTTTTTTTTATAAGCATTTAAAGTTGGAATTTTGACAAAATTTATCAAAATCTCGAAAATTATCAATCGTTGGAATTAAAAAATTATAAAATGTTCAGTTTTTATAACTAAGAGTTGAAAATTTAAAACAAAGATTCTCTTAAATAATTCATACTGTAACCAAAAAATCTAAAAATATATAAACACACTAATTTTTTACAGACATTTTAAATTCAAATTTGGACGAAATTACATATTAAAAAACCTAGAATAACTATTTTAGTTATTTTGTTGTGATTGAATAATATTATTCGTGGGTACTTGAAACTTCTAAAGTGTACTATTATATATCTATGATAGTATCACGGTTTTTGTTGATGTATAACGCGTTATAAGTATCTAATGGATATTGTGATATGATTAATTTGGAATTTATTATAGGTACCTATTATAGGTCAATTTTTGTTTAATACCATAGATATGTATATAATATGTCTTATACATAGACTGACATACTGTCACCGCTCAGAATCGTTTTTCTTATACAATGATATTATATCATTGAATTCAAATTTAATACCATCCATTATACAGTGACCCACTTGTAACCCACTGTACAGCAGAGCGACACCCACTTGCCCACCTTTTTTTTTTTGAACTGTTTTAAAAAATATGCTCAACAAAATGGCTATCTTAAAAATTTTAAATTCTTAAATGCGTAAAAAATTTTTTTGAAAATTTTTGAATTTAAAGAAAAAAATAAATGAGTTTTATGCCATTCAATCAGATTTTTCATACTTAGTACTGTAAAAAAAACCGCGTTTAAATATTGTGATTTTACATGGAGATATTAAGGGTGATACGGGACTTTTGGGACAGACTGTATACAAAAGATAGACCGCCTTATTACCTATGACATTGTAAGACATTTTCAAACTTTCTAAAACTTTAAACACTAAATACAACTTCTCAAAAATCTAACCTCCAGGTAACTGATATTGATCTGCAGTTCTTTTACGCATTTCATCAAGATTTTCACCAGCTTGTGCCCATTCAAGCACCAATCGCCTACCATACAAATGAGTGCTTTGGCACATGGACTCCATAGCTGCTTTTGCTTCGGTCTTAGAATTGTATTCAACAAATGCAAATCCTCTATGAGTGCCAGTTCCCACCATTTTCTTTGGCATTCTTAAACCTTTAAGTTCTCCAAAAGTTCTAGAACATTAACAATAATATAATTTCTAACTTAAAAATTATGTTACAAAAAACATACTTAAACAATTCAATAACTTCTTGAATACTCGCTTGGAATGGTATATTACGTACAAGTATTTTGGTGCTTTCTTCATATGATTTACCTTGTTTTCGTTCTGCAACTGTTGTACTTCTGCAAAAAATAAATAAATTTATTAAAATGCTTTAAATATAACAATATAACTGTATAACATTATACTACTAACTGTAATGTTCTATTTGAACGTTTAAGTTCAATGGAATGATCATCTAACATTGACAACTGTTTGGTTTTCAATGCTTCATTGACTGATTTCTGTCTGTAAAATTGAATGAAACCATAACCCATTGACAGAAATTGTCCTGGAAGATTAGGGTCTTTTTTTCGTGCAACAGTAACATTAGCAATTTTCCCACAAGGTTCAAAATGCTAAAAATAAATTGAATGATCATGATGGTTTTTTTATTTTTAAAAACTCATAAATTAATTTTTTTATACTTTTGTGATATGTTCTTCTGTAGTATTGAAATTTATGTTTTTAATAAACAATGTGGTATCAGATTCAGGCTCAACAATATCATCTTCAGTATCTTTATTGGTATAATTTGGAAAGGTTTCTTCTATAGTTAAAATTAAAGAAATCAATCATTATCTTATTAAATATTATTTTTTAATTGTTATTTACCTTGAATGTTCTGAGGAACATCAGTGAACACTTTATCTGGAGCCCATTCTAAGTAAAGTGGTAGATGTTTGAATTTTGAATAAGCAAGTTGACGAAATGCCGTTTTGGCTTCTGAGTTTTGAACAAATTCTATTAATCCTATATAAAAATAATGTCATTGTTAAAAGTTAGATCAAACAATAAATATTTAAACTTAAATTACCAGTGACCCCACTAGGTGGTAATACTACTCTGTTTACTAAGCCGTACTTGGAGAAAATGTCTTTCAACTCAAGTTCAGTTGTGTCAGCAGGCAAATTTTTAACCAAAATAACATTTTTGCTTCGATTTATTACAGTCTAGAAAAAATAAATATAAATTACAAATTGTTATTATAAAATCCTAAATTAGAAAATAAAAAAGTATTTATAGGTTACTTAACTACTTAAGTATACTTTTAATTCAGAAACGAGAAAATTCATTAAGACGAATATGATTTGTGATTCATTTTTTCCCATGAAAATAAAGAAGAAGGAAGATAAAACATTCAAGAGCGCTCATTATTACAAAAATCATGAAGAAGATTTTTAAAATGATTTTTTACACAGTTTTATTTTATTACAAAATAAAATATTTACACTATTTTTAGTAATCATTTTTTAAGCTTTTGAAATTTTTGAATTACAACACACATTTTGAATTTAATTTTCTTGAGCAGAATATTTTTAAGTGTGTTTCCATATTTATATAAAAATTTAATTTTGTAGCAGTATAATATAGTAGTTAATTAGTTATAAACATATATTATTTAAAACGTAGATGAGTCAAGTGGAGCTGCACATTGATACCCAACAAAGTATTGTATTGTCCACTTAGTTTAATTATCTTAACTTTAAATACTTATAAGTTATAACTACTCTATCAAAATTAAATTTATATTTGGCAAAAAAAATGCTGCTTTAGAGTAAGAAATAAAAATTTGTAAATCAAAAAATTTTAAAATTATAATTATAAGTAAAACATATAGATTAAAAAAAATACTTTTTAACTTCTTATTGTGGAAAAAATATTCAAAAATAATCTGCCTATATAAAATCGTTGATAAGTCTAAGAAACAGAATTTTCAAAAACTATAGGATGTATGATCGTATAGCCAGTGTCGTACGCAGGGGTAGGATTCTAGGGTTCTGACCCCCCCCTGAAATGTCTTCCTTTAACAAAAAATCTTATATATCACAATTTCAATACAGAGTCGATCAATTGTTGGTCATTTTTAATAGACATAAAATAAATTGTTAAATATAACAAAGACATCGATAATTGTGGTTTCAGTTTTAAGCCTAGTTTAGAACATTGCTAAATGTATGCCATAACCGCCATATGGTGTATCATCATGTATCATCGTCCATCGATTATGAGCATGTTTATTACCACCCGAAGAGGCTCTATAGATGACAAGGTGTCCGGGTTGAACTCTCGAGTGTTCTAAATGTAGACTAAATTTAATATTTTGTTATAACCAATTATCTAAAAACTGTTTAGAAAAAAATTATGTAAATTATTTACTCAGGTAAAACCCTCACCTAACTAAAATCCTACGAACGTTACTGCCTATAGCTTAACCTGATATATACAACTTCACATACCAACACAGGCCTATATGTAATATGTATAAATATTAATTAATTAATACATTTAAAGAATATTGAAATGGGTAAATTGAAATAAGACTTACTTGATTGAATATATCTAGTTTAACGCCATGATTTTCTAGGTAAATTTTTGTATCTGAAACAATTTGTGATTCACTTAGAGCTAATCTGACAGCAGCACTATCACCAGTAAGAACCTGATAACATAAGATGAGATTAGTTAGTAGTTACTTGTGTAGTTGTGTATACATAATAATAGTTTCTTCTTTAGTGTTCTACATTTTCTTTAGTTGTGTTATAAGTCTTAGCAATAATGTCAGCAACAGCATTTTGGCCTAAAAATAGACTGTTCCAGTTGTGAGATAATCCTGCTTCAGATTTTAGTTTTGCCATTTTTTTCTTTTTGAATGAACTACATTCGTCCGTTGTTTCTAAATGGATAATTAAACAAATTTATTGAATATTAAAAAATGAATTAATATTTTTCTTTAGTCATTACAAATATGAAACAAATAATTTAATAATTACCATCTTCTAGATTAATTTTGGCCTTTCCAGGTAATAAATGCATCATTCGCCCATGGAATATTGTACCGTCCAATTCAGTATATGCTTTCACAGCATGTTCAGGCATAAGATATGTAATTAAACCATAACCTTTGACTTGACGAGATATTTTATCAATAGGAATTATTACTTCAGTTACAGGACCTATAGAGTATTACAGTATATCAGTTTAAACATGTGGATATAAGTTATATATATATTAAAATAATTACTACATATTTAAAGAACTAAAAACACATACCATATTTTTCAAACACTGTTTGTAATTCTTCCTCTGTAGTAATGAATGGTAAATTTCGAATAAATATACGACCAGATTCTGCAATGCTTTCTTCATGTATCAAACTATCAGTTTGTTTCTGCCAATCGGGATTTCTTTTATTAAGCTTATTGTTTTCTTCTAGATCATCAGCTTCATTTTTCATTGGGTATAATAATATTCGTTTTCCATCTAAAATGATCAAATTGTTTAAATATAAAATAAGCTAGTTATTGTACCTCTGAACATACTTAAGAAACTCTTATTTTTAATGAGACATTGTTCAGCATCACATTTATTTTTGAAACCAATATAAGCCACGCCTTTTATTTTTGGTGGTAAGCGTATAGAATCTAATTTCAGTGGTTTGAAAAATTCTTTTAACATTGCCTTTTTTACTTTATATGGCAAACCTCGAATTACAATTGTATGATATTCTGTTTTAATTCCTGGATTATTCAAAATCTCTGCCTCAGATTTCTTACCACTTTTTATTTTCAAATACTAAAAAACATTATATCATTTATTTAAACATGTCATATTCAATAATATTATATTACGTATGCATATTTATAATAATTTAACATACTTCAAAGTCAGATATATTGGCATTTGCAATTTTGTTTGTAAGCTCTTCATCTATTTCTTTTGGAGTGGATGACTCTTCAGTTTTATCTTCATTGTTTAGATCTTTAAGAATTTTTTCTTGTCCATGAGCTTCCAAGAATTCAGTAAACATAGGATCATTTAAGTGCTAAAATGTGTTAATTCATTTAATATTTTAACAAACATAAAATACAATTTTTTTAATAGGTATCATTGTAGAAATAGATTTTATAGCACAGATTTATATTTTGTGTACAGTAAAAATTGTTTATTATAACATTCCGGATTCAATGGCCTAAAATGTAAACTTTAATTATTTTATTTAATGTTTTAAAATATGAAACTTGTATATAATCATTTAGAAATATGTATCATATATTCATTTTTACCCAAATATGCAAACACAAAAGTATATTATATTTATGCATAGAACCTGCACATTATAAAACGTCAAAATATTCAACCATCAAAATTAATTTAAATTGTATTTGTTTTTGATATGAAGTTTCATTTTGGATTGAATAGGGAAATAAAAATAATTAGTACCTTTTTCTATGACTTTTTGGTGTATACCTAATGTCAATTAATATGTGTGTTTTAGAAGGACTTGCACCAGTATATACTCTGTTCAAAATGAGATCAGTACCGGGTGGCCAAGTACAGACTGGCTTCATCAAACGATGCAAATATACGCACCCCTATAGTGGGAACGCCGTCTGATCATCCCAGAACAAAAACTGGTCGCCGCCCGGTACATTTTAATTTTTAACAGAGTATACCTGTTTTTTATGTGATTTATAAAATAAGCTATTACTATATTTTTAATTTAACAAAACATATTATTTAGGATAATTAATGCATTTATTCAAGGCTATTAGAAATATTTACTTATAGTTCAGTTATATTGAAAAACAAATTAATTATACAGTTTTTAAAACCGTAATTCAGTGTGGAACCTCCTCAGCTTCCAAAATATGTAAATCACCAAGAGGTTTTGACTAGAGATAACTATTTTATTAAAAAATTGATGTATGATTTACTTTCTAAACAGAAACTATCCATGGTAAATTACAACTGTTACACTAATAAATACCTGTTTTAATTTTTCTTCTACTTCAGATTTGAGTTTACTTTTTTTTTTAGACTTGGGTTCTGTTTGGATTATAACTTCTTCCGATTTAGGAGTACTGTGCTCTTTTTTATAGGCTGTACTATCAGGCGCATATTTACTCCATGATCTGGGCTTATTGTCATCACCTAGTGTGATCGATTAAAAAACTCATGAATATAATAGAACAAGAACAATAAAGATATCATATAATTCATAATTATTTAAAACATTTACCTAATTCAGTACATTTCTCTACTTTTATACGTAAAGAATGGAGAAAGGTATTGTCAAAATAATCTAGAGCTGCTTTAGCTTCTTCTTCGTTTTGAAAACCCACAAAGGCAAAATGACGAAATTTACCAGCTTTGGTATATTTAAGTTGGACATCAGTAATAACTCCTTTTTCACTGAAAATGTCTCTTAATTTGTCATCAGTTATCTAGGAACATTAAGAAATATTAATATTATGTATACTTAATTATTTAAATTTGATGATCAAGAGCTCTGCTCACTTCTCAACTTACGGCTTTTGGTAAATTTTTTACGATTAAACGAGACATTTTTTGATCAAAACTTTTGCAATAGGTACTTAAGGAAAAAATACTTAATGCTTAGTCGTTAATAGCTAATTCTTACAGCATTCCTGCCGTATTATTATTCTGCTTTTTACTTAATACTTTATTTTCAAATTTGCAAAAATGGTAATCACAATAATCACATGTGTTTTGAAGTTTTAATATGATAAAAGCACGATTAAAGATATCGTGGATAAAAGACAAGAAGCCAAGGTGTGATATGCCAATACGATAATATTGATACCATTGTTAACCGCAACCACGAATTAAGATCTTAATTCGTGACCGCAACCATTATTTAAGATAATATATCGTGACCGCAACCACGATTTAAGATATACTGGTTACACATCGAATTGTGATAAGGAGACCGTCTAACTGAATCCCTATATCAGCTCTGGAACTACTGACTGGCGCCATCTATCGATAAATTTCCATGTACCATTCGTCAACATCAAACGGATATGCTAACAAATATGTTTTCCTACTACATAACTATACGCATGAGGCAATATAGTTATATGCAAAACTAAGCTATTAAAAAACTAAACAAAACAAAAAAAAAGTTGTCAAAATTAGTTAAAACATAATAAATTAATGTTTAAAATGAATAAAACTGTTGTCGTATAATAATACTCGATGATTGATAATCATAAGATTTTTAACTGAAGTATTTCTCATTTCTTGTTATGGAATAAAATATAAATACCTATCTACTTGTAAAAATTCTTAAATTATAATTTAGTAAACTAAGTAAATGGTATTATATAATATTGTATAACCTTTTTAACGTTTATTCATATATTATAATCGCAAATACGTTATAACATTTAAAACCACCAGAATAATGACAAAATAAATTCTTTTTCATAACTAGAATATTAAGTTAATTATTAATCTTCAGTTAACTCATATTAGGTATAAAGTATAAACATTAAATATTAAACGAAAGTTAAGAGCATAGAAAAGTAAGTAAAGACGTTAAGTAGGAAGTTACTAATTTAGTACATACGAGTATACGAATACGACCGTTGCCATAGTACGTTTTTGATTGTTGAGTTTCCAGATAAATGCAGCTAGATGGCGCCAGTCGGTGGTTCCACAGCTGATTTGGAGACTCAGTTTGACGGTCTTTAAAAATGCAAAATATCATAGGCCGATGTTCAACCTGTATATCTTAAATCGTGACCGCAACTAGCATGGATCAACAGTATCTAACGTGAATTACTACCACTACCTTCGACCCATACAAACTAGTGAAGTTATAGAATAAAAAATAATTAATGCATTTATACAATTTGTTCCGGGGGAAGTGACAGGCCGATTCCAAAAAATGTAGTATTTTAATGGATTTTGGAACAATTGCAGTTTATTTCCCCCGCTATTTTGAATTTTTTATCGAAACTTCTGTAACTCATCGAGTTAAGAACGATGGTGCAATCAGAATTTGTCGCTCTCAGTTTTGAAGTTATGGCCCAGTTCTAAGGGCAAGACGCTGCGGTTTTTTTAAAAAATTTAATTTTTTAAAAGTCAAAGGTATTATAAAAATGGTGAAATTTTTTCTATTTCTAAACGATATAATGAACGTTATATTGGGTATAATGGAAAAACCGCAGCGTCTTGCCTTTAGAAATATTATCACAATTCAATTTCATAATAGGCATTTTTACTCTAGAACCAAAATTGAGCGAGTTATACTCAGACTGCCGAAACGCGTTTTGTCTATGTCGTACGTGTGTAAGACGGAGACAACACATGTGGGTGTAGCGTCCTCTTAAGCGAGTTTTACTGTATATAATTCCGAGGCCTGCCCAAGATGATTTTATATACGATTAGCAAATTGGGGGTATTTTCGATTTTTTTGTCCGAGCTATATTCAATTCTAAGTATTTTTTTTTTTTTTTTAATGCGCCTAAAGGTACTGAAAAATGTATTTTTTGAAGTTTTCCATCAATAACTTCAAAAATAGGTTTGTTTATAATTTTTTTTTTACATTCTTACAAAGCACCCTAAAACACACATTTTGGAAAAAATTGAAAAATCTATAGGTTTCAGAATCTTTCCAAACTTTTAATTTGTGTAACGTGTGTAAAACCTGACAACAGTACCTACCTAGTTATAATTTATGCACCCATGTAAACGGGATTACTGCAATACGCCAATACATGCGTGTCTGCATTACTATTTAGGTACCTACTACATTGAATTTGTGTTCACTATACCTACTTTACTTTGTAGTTTGTAAATCGTAGGCAGTCGCCCGTGGTTACTCGTTACCAATCTACAGTTAATAGCTGAAAATCAAGAAAAAACTGACAACCAAACAGAATTACAGAACATTCAACTTTTAATAAAAGAAAACAAGTTTCTCACAAAAATTTGAATGACGTGACAAACATATTATACACAAAGCAATCCCAAATTACTTTACAGAAATCTAGTTTTACAACAAACACGACGTTGAATAAAAAAAGTGAAAACAGTCCATTTCAATTAAATTTGTTTATAAATTTAGTAAAGTTTAATTAATTAAGATTGTTATAGTTTGGGGAGGCAGTTTTATTTGATAAATTAGGACTAAGCATTGCTTAGTATGAAGAAAGTAGTCTTATCAGAATTCTTATAATATATTTTAACAAAAGATGAGAAATGTATTTATTTTAAAACAGTTACCAGCTATGTGAGACCTCAGAATCATTTTTCTTATATCATTGAATTCAAGTTTAATACAATTCATTATACATTGACTCACTTGTAATCTACTGTACAGCAGAGCGACATTCACTTACCTGCTTTTATTATTTTTTTTTTTTAATTATTAAATTTATTTATCAACTATACATGCAAGTTACAACTTACAAGTATGTTAGGATAACACATAAGAATCGTTTATCGTATGCGATGATTTATCGCATACCTACAACCTACTAGTTAAGAGGACGCTACACCCGCATTTTTTATCTCTGTCTTACGAATGTACAACCAAGTGGGGAGGTCTGTTGGATCTGGATTACAGAGCCCCGCCTATTTTAGGGGCTGTTGATATGTATTTATAATTTTTGAAATGTAGATAGAATACTTATTTTATAGTATTTTTTTGTTGCTGTGGGTGAACCATTTACCTATGATTTATTACTTAGAAATCGTGTATAGGACACCCATATCGCTTTTAATGGGTTGTATTTTTTTGAAAGTTTTGTATAGGGCCAGCAAATACATTTAGTATAGGGGGCCAACATTTTATGTGAGGGCCTGTGTAGTGTGTAGAACAGCAAAAACTGTTTTTCGAGGACTGTAGTAGTGTAGTGATAGTTTCTCTGTAGTGACTCCAAATTGATACCTATACAATATAGTTGAGAACATTATCTGTGAAACATAGTTTTTATTTTTTTAATATCACTTGTACGAAAAAAGTTCTCATTGTTTCAAAATCCATTACCTAATTTGTGTGTTTTTCGAACTTTAATAACTTTTTTTTAGTTCCGTTATCGAAAAACATAAAAACGATATTTTACAGCCAAAGTTCTTCTTTTTATGTGGTGAAAATTTCATTTTTTAGTTATGATTCATAACCCTAGGGCCTAGATAAATAAAACTAGTTAATATCTTAGTCCGTGTGGCAATGTAAAAAATTAATCTATGCATAATTTTACTTGTTTCTGTTTAAAACTATTTACTGATTATCATTTGATAGGTGAAAGAACCACCGATTAATAATAATAATTCTGGGAAACATCCATTGAACTATATAATATTATATAGTTATTATATATTTTAATATAATAGTTCAATGGAAACAGCAGTTGTTGTAGAGATTAATAGATTATCAAAAAAAAGGTAATATTGTATAATAATATGATCAGTGACCTATGGATGCATTGAACACTGCTGTGTGCCACTATAACCAATATATTATATACCTACATCGATGAATATTATCATGAATAGTTGTAATCTTCTCTAATTTATTAATTGCCTATTAAATAGAAATATTTATATTTTGTTATTAAAGTTATATGTGGTTTATACACTGTTAAAGTTTCCAATTTGACAAGTAAATTGAGAGTTGTTATTTTTTTGTTAATGCCACTTAAAATGGTATGTAATATCATTGATTATAATATAATCAATGGTAATATGTATCAAATTAAATCTTATTCTTATATCCGAATTTCCGATCATATAAAAATGTACAGGTCATGATGCGTGGCTCTTAAAAAAGCATTCTTCTAATAATACAATTTCAACATGGGGGCAAAAGCATTCAAATACACAGATTTTTTGCATTGCTTGTTGTAATTTAAATACTCACTTTAAGTCACCTAAAGACAACAATTGGTCAACTGGCGAAGCCATGAATTTTGTAGGGGGGGAGCTAAGTCTCACAAAAAAAAACACAAAAAAAACAAATACACTATCTCTTTTATTTACACTTTTTATTTTTTTATTAATTTTGATAAAATTCGAAGGTCAACACAGTCAATGGGGGAGGGGGCTATAGCGTCCTTAGCCCCCCTGGCTTCGCCATTGAATATTGGTCACTTTTTCATTTCATTTTAGATTCTGAGTGAAACGATGAATGTATTGATTTTACAATGATGTGTGTTTTTTTTCTAATTTTTTAATTTTTTTGTGTCTGTCATCACGTTTTAGGACAGTAAAAGTGCTTGGATTTTCTTCAACAGTATCTTTTCTGATAGGAAAGTGAATATAGTTGGTACTTTGGGGGATCAAAAGTAAAAATTTCACAGTAGTTTTTACAAGCGCCGAGAAAAACAACATAAAAATTAAGGTAAAACAGAAATTTTTACGCAAAATCGGTTTTCCATAAAATTGATTTTGGTTTTTGGTGTAACTCTAAAACAAATGAACGTATATACATGAAATTTTCACTGGTTCTTTACATTTGCATTTTATATACACGATAACATTTTCAAAATATTTTGATTTATTTTGAACTGTTTAGGGACATTTTCATTTTCCATTTTTTTTTAGTTTTTTTTCTAAAAATATCAATAAAATTTTATTTGTTGGTTGCAAAAGCTTGAAAATTTAATAGAAGACTCCTAGTATATTGTTTCAAAGGCAGATGAAAAATATTAAAAATCCTTAGTCACAATGTTTTTTATAAGCATTTAAAGTTCAAAAATTGACAAAATATGGAAAAATCCCGAATATTAGCAAATTATTTTGAGTTAAGAATTCGTAAAAATTTTTGTTTTTAAATCTAAGATTTGAAAATGTAATACAAGATTCCTTATAAGATTATACCTATACCTTTTTCAACAAAAAAAATGTCTATAAGAAAGTCAAATTCAATTTTTATGAGTGTTTGAAATTCAAATTTTTATACATTGGATATTCACTCGATTTCTCATGTAGCGATTTCCTTATTTTGTTGTAATTCAAAAACAAATAACTGTAGATACATGAAAATTTCACTGAATGTTTAAATTAGCATTTTCTATACACCATACAATTTTGAAAATATTTTGACTCTTTTTGAGCTGTTTACGGACATTTTCAGTTTTCAATTTTTTTAGTTTTTTTTCTATAAATATCAATATGTTTTATCTGTTGGGCCAAAAAGTGTAAAAGTTTAATACAAGACTCCTGATATATTGTTACAATATAAGTTCAAAAACATTGAAAATACATATGCATAATTTTTTTTTTATAAGCATTTAAAGTTGGAATTTTGACAAAATATATCAAAATCTCGAAAATTATCAATCATTGTAATTAATAAATTATAAAATGTTCAGTTTTTATAGCTAAGGATTGCAAATTTAAAACAAAGGTTCTCATAAATAGTTCATACTATCCCCCCCATAGTGATGTATCCCCCAGTTAAATTAAAAGATAAAATAATAATAACTTTATATTTTAATTGTGGTATACAGCATAAGATATTAATTCTAAAGAAGTCTTAAAAACGAAGTTGAAGTATTATGTAGGTTGGATACCTTTAAATTTTATTTATTTTGTGGTATGTTTTAATTATAAATTATAATATATAAAAAGTTATGCTAGACCTTAGTCTGTGGCATAGAGTAATACCAGAGAACACTACTATGGGGTCCGTGGATAATACATATTATTATCTTTAATCTTATTTTCAATTTATATCACGATGGCCGGCAGAAAACTGATAACATATTAAGTACCTACTACCTACCACAGACTACTAACATTTTTTTTTTATTCATTATTGTGACTGTGAGTTTACGTAGTAAAATTAGTTTAAAATTTAAAATTACTGTTACTAATTAATTTATTATAAATTATAACATATTATGTAAATTAATTATAAAATTTTAATCGCTATTCTGATTAGAAATTAAATTAACATTAACGGTAAGATTATTGTTATAAATTATTATTTATGTTGGTTAAGATGTACAATAATATAATAAATATAGGTAATATAATATGTTATGTAATAACCAATAGGCATGTATAATCAATTCCTATCTTGAAAAATAATTTATATCCGATCAAATGTTTACAATTTGAATTATTTTCATGCTTATAGAATATGGCTGACCCATCAATTCAAACATTTTGTTGCCGGAGAGCTCTTGATTATCATCCGTCTTATAAACTCATGAACGAATTCAATACAGACCGTTTTAATATGGTGTGTTTACTGTCTTCGATAATAGGTATAACTGGTGCAGCATACCAGGTAATGATTGTTTAAATTTGTTTGTATGTAGTTTAATCAATTTATTTTGATTACTTAGTTAGAAATATATTCAAATACCTAGATACATAATATTATAATACCTAATCATTAATTCATTTTTTTTAGATATTACCAAAAGTCGAGCTAAAAGTTCCAAATAGATTTTATTCAAATATCATGCGGCGAGGAAAATATATTATAATGTGGTTAGCAATAGCAGATATCTGTGCATCATTGGGTAAAATAAATTTTTATTTTGGCTAAATTCATCTTATTAAAACATTCAATCTACCCATTTTTGTTTTTATTATTGGAATATTTATTATTTACATATCATCTTCTTATTATAAGACATTATATATTTATCTACCAATTTTTTCGAACTGGATGGCTATAACCACATTTTAAGGAACCTTGGACTCCGTTTTCTGTGGCAATCAGTGAATTTGATTATTTTTTCAGTTATTATTGTAAAAAAAAATTGAATCTAGGTATTTTTGTATAATATATTTTAATATTTATTACCTCAATATTTACGAAATTAACAATACATTAACCAGACGAGGATCCAGAAAATTTTAACAGGGGTACTCAAAAAAAAAAGAAAAAATTGGTTTTACCTTTTTATTTTAGATTACATAATTGTTAGTATAAATGTATAGCCCCCCCCCTAAATTAGTGCTTGCTGTAAATGATTATGGCCTACATATTGTCTGTAAAATGTACAACAAAAGTACAACTTAGTCAGAGGCTTGCACTCGGAACTGGAAACCCGTATATTTTTAAATTTGAATCACAATTATAGCAATAAATGCTTAAGTGCATGATTATGTTAATTAATCCAAATGTCCAATTACTGTCTATTAAAATTAATAAAAGCAAATTGCCTATAATTGTTCAAAACATTATTATTAAAACGCTCGGTGCCAATGTAATTGTGTCCACAAAAATACTCTCTATGAGAATAATAATATTGTTTTGTAGAATCAACTAAATTTGATAATTTTTTTTTAACTCGGAGAGTAATACTCTAGGGTCGTTTTGAACTCTATTTTTTAATATTTCAATCTCAAACTTCAGATAAAAAAAAAGTTATCAAAATCCAACAAGTCTTGAAAATTATTCCTGTGAAGTCACTTTTTTCTATACAATAAATCATATCAACCCTCCTTAATTATATTATGTATTGGGCTGTAGATTAGTGGGAAAGTGTTATAATTAAGGTGGCAACTAAAATATAAAATATAATTTTCAAATTATTTAGAATTGCAGAAAATTTGAAAACCAAGCACCGGGCACCTTAAATTACTAAATGTTTTCACAGAATTCATTACCTCGTATTTTTACAAATTTTGATGGAAGTAAAGACCATAGAGTCCAAAACTGTTATATTTTTATCACTGATTTGCCTGTCCTGAATAACTGATAATATATGCTATCCAGTTAGAGTATCTTTGAAAAATTAAAATATTGTACATATTTATTATTCATAAACACAATTTAACTGTCTTATTTTAAAGTATAGGAAACAATTATATATTGGAAAAATATCTCTATCTGATTTTTGTTTTGATTTTAGGTATACTTTTAAGGTCTTGTTTAAAACTAATGCATCATTTTCAATGGTACGATGGACAACCATATACAGTTTCTTGTATATTTTTAGCAGTAAGTTTTATTTTTAATCTTTTACATGATAAATTGTCTATGTTCTTCAAAAGTTTAATATTATTATCTTACTCATGAAAAGGTTTGGATTCAATACTTTTACATTGTAACTTGGTTTTGGACTTTGTCATATGCTGTAGACATGTGGAGAGCATATCAAGATAAACACTCATGTAGAAAATTATATCATATGGTTGCTTGGTCAATTCCTGCCATATTTACATTTATTGGACTTTCTACTCTTTATAGACCAAATGCAAAGTATAAACTGTTCTAAGGATGTCAGCATACTATTTGTTTTCTTTCCCATTATAAGCAATATAGCAAATTTGTGTTCAGCAGAATAAATTCTGTGTTTTTAGCTTTAATATTAGAGTAAATTAACCTCTTATTAAACTTACAGGTAAGTATATTATCTAGGTTAGGTTAGGCTAAGCTTTTAATGATATTTTAATTATGAAGTAAGTTATAACTAAAATATTAATTTTAAAATTTCCATGACTTGATTTAAAATTAAAATATCAAAAAACCCTATAATATATTATATATTATATTATTACCATATTTTAGATTATTACCTTTAAGTTTGATAATAGGTGAATTAACTAACACCACAAAATTGGATTTGCTGAACAAAATGTATCATAAGTTAGTCAGAAATGAATGTTGTGCTGACATCCACTTAAAAATGTTAATGTTTGTGTAACTTGATATAATTCTAAATCTAACATTTTTTCTATTTTTTTTAGCTGTCACAATTTGAGCCTCAAAGAAAATATTGTTATGAAGTTCCTTCCAAATTATTTTTTTACGTTTTTGCCAGTCATCGTTGTTATGGTAGTCAATCCAGTGCTTTATTCTTTATCCACTGGCTACATATACCACATAATAACTTCATACATGGCACAATACTCAACAAATGAACGGAAAATGTTGGACTTATTTAAACAGAGATTTGCATTAATTAATCTAGCATTTTACTTGTGTTGGGCACCCAATTTAATCAATGCAGTAATAGTTTGGACGTCTTGGGATAATCTACCAAATGGTGTGATGCTTACACTTTGGTATCTAATGGTATCTACATGACTATATACATCTTAACAATAAAAAAAAAAATAGTTTTGAAACTCATAATATATTTATATGAATATCTAAACTAAAATTATGGATCATAAATGTCTATGTAAAATATAAATTTTATTTTCAGGCTATTTTGAATCCTATGCAAGCATTTTTCAACAGTTTCCTCTATAACTTACTTGAACATACGGAGCAAATCTGTTGTAAATGTTTTGGTGCTCAAAGTCGAGTTCAAGAAATGGTAGAATGTAGACCTTTATTAATAGCTAATGTAAAAGGTTCGTCAAATTCAAATGGTTATGAAATAATTGAATGATTTAAAATAACAATTAATAACTAAACCAATACAAATATTTATTTTAAAAATGTTCAAGATATATTTTGCATTTATAAGTAATTTAATGAATTATTAATCCTAGATTTTGTTTCTATGAATTTATAATATTAGTATGTATTATGTTTTTTATTTTACCGTAAAGGTATATCAATAATGTATAAATCTGAACAAAACATTTTTTTGTTTGGTATTTTGAATTTTCATTGTATTAATTTTTTATGATGTATGTAATTAATATACTTTTTAACAATTGCATTTACTATTTTTCTATTATATTAGTACTTACACCTCAGACTGAGAATAAAATATATTAGTGTTATTTTTTAAATATATATATTTCTACCTCTTTATTATATTTTATATATTAGAAAATTATAATACGTTCAAATTATAAATGTTATATCCATATTTTATTTTATTTCTAGTTTGTATGACTTATTCGAATATATATGTTTTTTTTATAATTCAATTGAACAAAATTATTATAGCCTCAAATATTTATTTAAATCAGACTAATATTTGTAAATGTAACATCTAAAAATAAAATAATTTTGTATTTTATATTCATAAATAAATATAATTATACATTAAATAAAATACAAGTTGTTTTAGAATATTCCAAATTGCAATTGCCTATTGAAATTATTCTTAATTTGTTTATTTCAATCTAATCCAGTGTCATATATATGTGGCTCTTGAGTTAATTTCCTTTGGTCCTAAGTTATTTCCATGGCTTAAATATTTCGTAAATAATAAAGATCTATATTATATATGGTATATTTAAGCCAATGGTTATTTCTATAAATATATAAATTGAATGTTAAATAAATGTGTCTTCATTTTATAACCAACTCTTAACAATGTAGCTCGTTTTGAATTAGCTTCATAAAGTTGCAACTCCCAAAATTAAGATTATTGGCTACAACCCCTGTATTATAATGTATTACATTCTACAAATGTCAAACATACAGTAGAGCAGAGGTATTCAAACTGTAACTCATAAATGAAGTCACATCAAAAGAATCTGAAACCAAAATTATCGTAGGAAGGTAATATGTCAGTGGCGTAGTGAAAACTTCATTAACTTATGTGGCGCAATATATATATAATAAATTTTAAATAGGTACTTATATTAGTAATTACGTATTTACGTAAATGGTAAGTGAGAAAGATTTGCTTAGTCTAGGTGGTACAGAGTACTTAGCAAAAAAAAAATATGAACAAACGCTAAAAAATATGTTTAGAAATAACAAAAGAATCAGTAATCAAATGTGTTTTACAAAATGTATCATTTTTATGTCGGAATTTTCGGACATTATCATTTATTAATTATATTTTATTTTATACCTACTTATTTTTTTAAAATTTTTTATTGTTTCAAGTAGTTGAGTGGATCAAACATAAATACATAATATACATTTATAATCTATATTCTATTATATACCACATTATATATAAATATAAACTCAAAATTGTTTTGTTATTAGAACTGTCTACAACTGTCAATATAGTATATACTGTATGTCTATATATAATAGGTTTGTTCGGTTTGAAAAAAAAGTGTACACTAATTAGTGTACGGTCTGGTGAAAGGGTAAGGTGTGTGATCAGAAATATTTTTTCATAACTAACGTTTTTGTTGTAGATCACGATTAAAGATCTTTAGATTATAATATCTTTAAATGGAATCGCGGAAAAAAAGCCCACGGAAAAAAAGCCCAGAAATACAAATATAAATGTGAACAAAATATAATAATATATTATTATATATTATAATGAAAATAATAATTAATTGTTAATTATAATAGTAATTATCACAGCAGGTCAGTCAATTTTCAACTGTAATAATACAATAATAATATAAATATTTTGTTGGGTATAGTGTGATACTGTAAATTTTGAGATCGGTGTATAATTCTCCAGTACATTTCATTGAACACCTCTGAGAACACCTCCAGGTTATTTTTGATACGCCAATATACTTTACAACATATACATAACCTTTGTAAAAACCTTTGTTACCACCTTTATTTGATTTGATAATCTCCATATTCACAAAAATTGGTAAAACAAAAGTATAAAATATATAACAAATGTATAACTGGATAAAACTGTACTAGTAGGACGTGTAGATAGTATCTCAATAACCAAGTAATGGAGTACTATATGGAGTGTCAATATTACCCAGTTATTGATAAATTTTAACATTTTGACTGGTTATATATATAAATTATATTGGTAAGTACCGAACAATATAAATTAAATTAAATGTAAAAGTGCTTATCAATAGTTGGGTAATAAAAATGCAATTTATTGACAGGTGGTTCATCAGTTCATGGCAGTATCAAACCCTCTATATAATAATATACCTTAATAATATTTCTTAAATTAAAATACATTAAACATTTTCAATAGTTATATATTATGTATAAGTCATATTTGAAATTTTAATATTTTCTTTTATAAAATTACCTATATATGCCTCTTATACAATTATTTATGATTATTATCTGTTATAGTATAGTAATGTATTATTAATATATTATTATATTTTGTTCACATTTATATTTATATTTTTGGGCTTTTTTTCCTCAGTGTATTTTTTTTTTTGGGCTTTTTTTCCGTGGGCTTTTTTTTCTGGGCTTTTTTTCCTTGGGCTTTTTTTCCGTGGGCTTTTTTTCCGCCTACCCTTTAAGGGCCGTTCTTACAATGTCCGGTAAAGTGTCGGTTAACGCTAACCGACTGATAACAGATTTTATTACCGGCAGAATTCTTCCGGTTAAGTGTCGGTTAACTTTAACCGGACATCGTAAGAACGGCCCTAAATGTGGTGTAGAACTGTAGAATAATCAGGCTGAATTACAGAATCAACTATTCGCTGATAAGAAATAATAACGATCACCTACAACGGTCACATCTGTTCTTAGGTCAGTGTGAAAAAAGTGTATATTGATGTAAATGGAGTTCTAAAGTTTCCTACATTTTAAAACTTTTATTTGACCGATTGTTGAGTGGTCGACAGACATAATATTATATTCCTGAATCCCGATGTAGCTATTTTCATTTGTCGTTGTAGTGTTTACACAATATTTTTATTTATCAAATTAATTTTCAATGATTATTATTGCAAGTGGCTAAATGTATTTTATTACGATTTGATAATTTGTATTTTGTTGAAATTAATATCAAATTTTTCATTTTCTTTTGAGTTAGGTATCTTCTTGTAGATAAAAGGTTATCTACTGCGGTCTGCAGTATTTAATATTTATTATTTATATCAATATTCAAGATATATACTATATTTTAGTTAGTGATTAATATTATATTTTAATCAATATTATAAGACAATAACTACATTTTTTATTATATAAAACAGTAATATAATATAGTACATAGTAATAATTTAAATCATGTTGAACATTTTAAGAAGTAAATTTTCTCCTTTCATGGTACAAATGCACTACTTTTCATCTGGAACAGTAGTAAACAAACAGCTCACAAAGACAACAAAACATATTATACTTTGTAAGTGGGTTGATTTAGTTGTTTATGATTTAAGACTATAATAAAAATGCATATTTACATAGATTGACCTGTGTTATGTTCAATATGTGTTCAATAATTTGTATTCAATCAATTTTATCAGAAAATATGAGGACATTATTCTTACTATATTAAGGCTTTTACTAAAGTATACCTTAATATTGTGTTTTAATTCTCATATTTTATAAAAAAATTACTTAATTACTTAATTTTTTTTTATAATGAATAATAATACTTTTATCAGATTCCTTGCATGTTTTTCTATGCAACTTTTATCAAATTATTGTTCTTTTTCCTTCATCTTGTTTTTCTATAGGCCATTTAGGTTCATTTCCACAATAACTAAATGCCTCAATCTTTAATCTCCATTTCTTTCATAACAGGGATTCCTCTTTCATGATCCTTTTCACTATTGACTGGTTCGTGGTCGTTTTGTTTCCGGCTTCCATCTTATCCAAAACCCTTCTGATCTCTAAACGTCTACTACTACAACTCCTACTATGTTATTGTACTTTTCAGTTTGTTCTAAGTCTAACTTTATACCCATCTTTCATAATATATTTAATACTACAACAACACAACCTAATCTATTTTTAAAATTAGGTTCATTACTCTAGTAGCGAAAGGGTTGATAATATAATATTTATAATAACATGAAAATCTTTTTTATGTTCAAGATAAGACCAAATCAAACTCATGTTCACTTATTCAAAATCGTAGTTTTGCTGGTACATCTCCACCATTAATTACAGATATTAATTATGAAAGATTGAAAAAGTTTATTAACCAAAATGAAGTGTTAATTATTGATGTACGTACCAAAGAAGAATTAGCTGCGACAGGAGTTTTACCAAATAGCTATAATATTCCACGTGTGTATAAGACATTATTATTTTTGTAATTAATATCATTGTGTATACCTACAAAAATTTTTGTTTTTTTTTTTTCAGTCGATGAGTTAAATACTGCATTTGAATCAACACCTGACAAATTTTTAGAAATGTACAATATTCCTAAGCCAGATAAAGATCAAAGAATTGTTTTTTCTTGTGCCAAAGGAATAAGGAGTTTAAAAGCATGCCGTTATGTTGCAGACTTGGGTTATAAAAAGTATATATATATTTGAATGACCTAAATTGTATAGACTTGATAATACGAAACTTATTTTACTTATTTGATTTTAAGCCTTTTCAATTACACCGAAGGATGGTTTGGATGGGAGTCACACAAATGAATACAAATATGCCTTTTATATGTGTATGGGTTAGTACTTACTACTCAGTGTATGTCTAAACAGCCAGTGGATTGTTCTTGTTTTAAAATTGTGTTTTTCTTCTATAATTAAATAACAATATTTAGAATTATTATAAACATTATTTTTGTTTTGCAGCAGCCAGCAATGTATCATTTAAATACCACTTACGGTTTGAGGTTTAAACCATTACTGTTGACTTACCTTTTCATCAAAGAAATTCTGATGAAAATTGTTGAAATTCATTGGATATAAGTACAGTGCTAATTGCAAAGAAGTGATTTAGTAGATATATGTATAAAATCATATTGTTATTATCACATAGACTAATAATGTATAACAAAATAAAATGGTGTTTGAATATTTCCAGAATAGAGACAGTAATTATTGCTTTAGACTAACATCATACTTTACTCTGTATAAATAATAATTTTTTTGATATAAAATTAAAGTTTATTTATATATTTTTAATTTCCAGAAGAAAATTATAATGGCATTTATTTGTTTGACGGTATGGGTACTGACTTACTGTACTGTAAGGGTAAATTATAGCCTTGCAGCAACATAATTATATAATTATTAATTTATATGTATCACAATATTACAATAATAATTTGGTTATTAATCTGTATGCAAGTATTTTTCATTAGGAATTACATAAACTTTAAATTGTTTGTGAGGGAGCAAAGTATTAATATCACTTCACCTTTTTTATTTTTATATTCTTCATAATGCAAAAAATAGATACATTGAAATCTACTACAATCGACACGAACCATTGAGCATTTGTTTTCCAATGCCAACTGCCTGAAATTTAAATTAAAATACTTATTATTGTTTATTTAAATTTAAAACCGTATACATATTATAAGCTTATAACAAAAAAGGTGGGCACCTAACCACTGATTTTACCCACGTTCTTAACTCGTTTAAATACGTACCCATTTGTATATGTTTAAAAAAAAAATTAAAATTAAGAACATTCATTTTGAGGACTAAAAAAAGTCTTGCCATCAGTATGGACTACTATGGAGTATACAGAATACAAACCTTAAAATTAGCATCCCCATAAAAAAATCCTAGATTCACTACTATGTATGAATACAGCCAATATAGGTAAGTGGTACCTATGAGCTTTTATTTTAATGTACCAATGTATAGGTTACCCACTATCAAAAATATATAGCCAGTCAGTGTCTGCACTCTGCTGTACTACAGTGTGAATACCCACCAAACTACCTCTTCATCCTAATCCTCTAATAAAAAAACTATCTACCTTGTCCATTCCAGGTACTCCACCTAGATGGCTTAAGCGAAGATGGTGTCGAGACCTTCTGTCTAAAAATTAAAATTAGCTTAACTTAAAACTTAAGAACACAAAATAGCCAATAGGTAGTATCACCAATGGATGGTTTCTACCCTCAAAAAATTCATACGCAAATACCCTATGCACATTTGCTTATTGTTCTAGTTAAGAACAGATTGTAAATTTCATGTAAAAAAAAAAAAGGTGGGCAAGTGGGTGTCGCTCTGCTGTACAGTAGGTTACAAGTGGGTCACTGTATAATGGATGATATTAAATTTGAATTCAACGATAAAATATCATTGTATAAGAAAAACGATTCTGAGCGGAGACGGTATGTCAGTCTAGGTATACGACATATTATATACATATCTATGGTATAAAACCAAAACTTGACCTATAATAGGTACCTATGATAAATTCCAAATTAATCATATCACAATATCCATTAGGTACTTATAACGCGTTATAATTCAACAAAAACCGTGATACTATCATAGGTATATAATAGTACACTTTAGAAGTTTCACGAAAAGTATCCACGAATAATATTATTCAATCACAACAAAATAACTAAAATAGTTATTCTTGGTTTTTTTTCATGTAATTTCGTCCAAATTTGAATTTAAAATGTCTGTAAAAAATAACTGTGTTCATATATTTTTTAGATTTTTTGGTTACAGTATGAACTATTTATGAGAACCTTTGTTTTAAATTTGCAATCCTTAGCTATGAAAACTGAACATTTTATAATTTATTAATTACAATGATTCATAATTTTCGAGATTTTGATAAATGTTGTCAAAATTCGATCTTTAAATGCTTATAGAAAAAAATTGTGCCTATGTATTTTTAAAATTTTTCAATTGCTATTGTAACAATATATCAGGAGCCTTGTATTAAATTTTTACTCTTTTTGGCCCAACAGATAAAACTTTATTGATATTTATAGAAAAAAAAACTAAAAAAAATTGAAAGCGGTAAATGTCCGTAAATAGCTCAAAAAGAGTCAAAATATTTTCAAAATTGTATGGTGTATGGTTTATAGGAAATGCTAATATAAACATTCAGTGAAATTTTCATGTATCTACAGTTATTCGTTTTTGAATTACAACAAAATAAGGAAATCGCTACATGAGAAATGAGCGAATATCCAATGTTGTAAAAATTTGAATTTCAAACGCTCATAAAAATTTAATTTGACTTTCTTATAGTCATTGTTTTTTGATAAAGGTAGACAATCTTATAAGGAATCTTGAATTACAATTTAAAACTTAGATTTAAAAAGAAAAATTTTTAGGAATTCTTAACTCAAAATAATTTGCTAATTTTCGTGATTTTTCCATATTTTGTCAATTATGTTGAACTTTAAATGCTTATAAAAAAAAAACTGTGACTAAGGATTTTTAATACTTTTCATCTGCCTTTGAAACAATATACTAGAAGCCGTTTATTAAATTGTCTAGCTTTTTTAACCAACAAATAAAATTGTATTGATATTTTTAGAAAAAAAAACGAATTTAAATGAAAATGTCCCTAAACAGTAAAAAATAAATCAAAACTATTTGAAAATGTTATTCGTGTATAGAAAATGCTAATATAAATATTCAGTCAAAATTGCATGTACCTTCGGGCATTTGTTTAAGAGTTGCACCAAAAACGATGTTTTCGAAAACAGATTTTAATGTAAAAATTCCCGTTTTTCCTTAATTTGTATTTGGTTTTTCACGCCGCTTTTGAAAACTATTGTGAAATTTTCACATTTGACCCCATATAGTACCAACTAGATTCACTTTCCTATCAGAAAAGCTACTGTTGAAAAAAATCCAAGCACTTTTACTGTCCTAAAACGTGATGACAGACATAAAAAAAAATTTAAAAAAAAAAACACACATTGTAAAAGCAATACATTCATCGTTTCACTCATTCACTGAGAATCTAAAACACACATTATTTTAAAATCAATACATTCATCGTTCCACTCAGAATCTAAAACAACTTTGCACAATAATTAAAACCTCTTTTAAGTGTGATAACTTGGTTGCTTAAATTGGAATACAGCCCGAGTGGTTCAAGATTCTTAGATCTTACTACTTACCTACTAAAAAATATTATTTGCAGTTTTACATTTGTAAGACGGAGACAACTCATGCGGGTTTAGAGTCCTCTTAATAATCATATAGAACATTTTATTCATTGCTATTTGCATTTGAAGACTTTGGGGCAACAACGAGACATATCCATGTTTTGGTCAAAATCACTTTTTCCCGTCGTAAAATATAAAAAAAAAAATCTGCATCGATTGGTGTAACAATGAGACATGTCCGACTGTTATACATGTAGTTATAATATGTCTTGTTGTTGTGTTGGTGCAACAACAAGATATGTCCAAAAAAAATTTAAATACTGTGCAACAACGAGGCATGTCCAAGCAAATTTGCATTACGGTGCAACAACAAGATATGTCCAAACAAGTTTTTATTGCTTCCTTAACTTACTATCAAAAGTTAAGCACTATCTACTAGTGCATATGTTGTATGTACCCTATAACTAAAATATACTATTTTTTAAAAAATTCTAAATTTTTTTTTTTGGAATTTACAATGTTTTTTTTGTCTCTTGAACAATTATTTCAAAAAAAGGACATGTATCGTTGTTGCTCCAAGGTCTTCTATTTTATAAAAATTTAAAATTATTACAATTCAGTTTACTATAGTATTAGGGGGGTGTGAGGGGCCCCACGTAGCTGTGTACCATAAATTATTCCAGCACACCCTGACACCCTATGTGCGCTTATGGCTCTTAGATCTTCAAGAAACATTTTTGGTGTCAGTGTATCACCGATAATCGATATCAATATAACGGTACCTATATGGCTATATACTTAATACTTATGTAGTTATGTATAATATATGTATTATTTATATGATATAGATACCTACTAATAATTAGTTTTATATTCAAGTATAAAACTGTAGACTGCAATTAACTTGAATTAATTATTTCATATTATAATATTAAATGGTGATCCATTCTCCGGCCTCCCTCTTCACGACACGTCGACACTCACTAGTCACTACTCAAACAGTGTATTATACACTGTGTATATAATTAATAGGTACCTCAGTTATCTGGTCACATTCGAATACTATGGTAAGGTATTACGTGCGATCGTCACTCGTCACGACACCTTTATAAAAGTTATTGTCATCGTTAGTGTAAATTGTTGTAAGAGCTGATGCGACACCGTAATAATTGCATACATATTTATTAATGTATACCTAAATAGTAAACATACGTCGCCACTGGTAATAGTTAATTGATCGTGTAGGTATAATTTAATTAAATCGGTTGTAATGTCGGTTTATGAAAACGTAGACTATGATGGCTTGTTGGCGAAAATGGACCGAAAATCGTTTGTGATCGATGTCCGCGAAAGTCACGAACTTGCTGCAACTGGATCGTTACCAAACAGTATAAACGTTCCACGTAATATTGCACATAAATCATAATAATATATTATTATACCTACAATATGTCAATTTATACATTGTATATTATCTAACATGTATAACGATTAGCCATGACATTGGACTTAAGGATATTTGTCTATAATATTTCAAAAATGAAAGTTCGTTTTATTTTATATAGGTAGGTAAAAATATTGTCTTGAAATTATTTGCATTTGGGGCGTTGACGCGGTGTAACCTAAATTAACATTCCGCACCTGCCAAGTGCCAACTAAAATATAGCCATATTATGCAATATTGCAATTGTCTATATAGGTGACCAACAAATACAAATTACAATTCATATTATTATACCCAATACAAAAAAAATGTATTTAATTAATTTACTGACTATCATTGTAATTTGTTACAAATTATTTGTAGTAGGTTTATTACTAGGTTATGATCATAAAAAGAAATTAATGATGGGTTATGATTGGTACGATATTTTATGTGGAACTAGTGAGTAGACGAGTAGTGAGTAGTGACCTATATTTTGTCTTTTTTAAATTAGTTATATTAGTATAATCCAACCAAGTGCCTACTAACTAACAGGAAGTTCTCGTTTGGGGGGCGCGGGATTTAAACAACAATCTAAATTGATTATTATTTCAGTCGGCGAGTTGGAAAACGATTTAAATTTGCCCACTGACGTATTCGAGGAAAAATACAAAGTACCCAAACCCGACAAAGAAAACGACGAAATCGTATTCTCCTGTGCCCGAGGAAATAGAAGTCGTCGTGCAGCTGAAATCGCTTTCAAACTAGATTATAAAAAGTAAATACGCCTTTATGGTTAACATAATTATTAATTACATTAACTGCTACACATGGGTCCATGAGTGTGGTAGCCTTACGCAGTTACGCCCTTACACTATGTCTCACACTCTCACTGTATTAAAAATGTAAAAAGTGCAAATATTGTATAATTTTTTAGTTTTTATGGATCAAATCCTATATACATAAATACATTATATAATATATACCTACCTTTAGGACAATTTGCTCCCCTAATTTTTTAAAAATTTATTTGAATATAAATTTTTTTTATGTTTAATTTTGTCTCATTGAGAATTAAATAAAATTGAATACATTTCCAAATATAATTATAGATGAATATTTTAATTTCAATTGATCATAGTCTTTTCAAAAGTTTGAATAAATAAAAAATACTTATTATAATAACGAAAAAAAAATAGTAATGTTTAAAACAACTAGGTATCTAATTACTATAATAATTAATAATATTACAATATTTTACAAAAACCCATTCCAATTATAGTTGGTAGGTTAAGTAGGTACCTACTGGCTACTGCGTATTATTAGGTACTATTGAAATTTAAAATTGTGTCTAAACTCCCATCAATTTTTTAGATTATTAAAATAATAATACATTTATGGAAATATTTGGAAACTTATTCTGTTTTATTTTATTATGTGCATAACATTAAGACAAAAAATGAAAATAATTTCATATTAAATTACATTTTCATAAATAGCTGGTGTGTGTGCGTGGGGGTTGTCCATTTATCCACAGATCACATCAGAGATACTATTTATACATACAATATAGTAATATGTAGAGTATTATATAGTTATGTATGTACAGTATATGGTACTCACCTAATCCTATGGTTTGACATTACAGGTTATATAATTACATGGGCGGTTGGACTGAATGGTCGGTGAAATATCCAAGTACATAATATTATTTAATATTTGGTAACAATAAAATACTAAATAACTAAATAAGTAGTACAGTACCATTGGTTACAATAAAATACTAAATAACTAAATAAGTAGTACCATTGGTTACAATTACAAATACTACCAATGGTATACCTACTGCACTATTACAATATAAACTACCTATATAGCCATATAGGTACTGGTATATTTCTTTATGGCTCATTATCTCAATGTCAGTAAACATACCTAATACCTATGATTTATCTTCTTATATAATTATTTTGATTTTTAATACCTGCACATATTATGAGTTTGTATTTTGTAACTCTCCATAAATTAATGAGGAAATACCTAAATATATTATATATTTATTTTAATTTTGTCTCTTGTTATAGTGAAATGTTTTTTTTTATTATTATCCTTTTACTAATACCTATTATTAGTAATAGACCAATTGTCATAAACTCATAACCCTCAGTTTGGTTAAAAATGATATTCGATCAGTATGAGATTTCAACAAAGTATATCAAGTTTCATGAACATTTTTTTTGTTTTAAGTTTTAACCAAAAGTTATAACTTGTAACAAATTCAGTTTTTATCATATAATTTTAGTATTTTTCTTTGATTTGAACTTTGTAAGCCATTAGCCAATAGATTGGTACATGGACAAACGCTGCCAAATGTTGTAAGCCTAGGTAGCAGTCACTTGTTATGAACATTAATATGGTGGCCAAATGGCTTATATATTTATATGCTAAGTCTAAGGTCCATGAAGTCACATTGAGATGTTATGGTAAGAACTATTATTCATATAATTGGCTTTTTAACCATTGTCAATCGTAATACATTTTAATAGCTCACAGTTTTATTTTTATTATCAACCAATTATTATAGGTACATTAATATTCCTATACCACAGAATATATGAAATTATACTTTATAGATTTATATTATGTAATTGATGTTTCATATGCTCTGTGCCTATAATAGCTACACTTATCTTAATCTAAAATAGTAAAATAGGTTCCTATTGTCTATACATATTTACTATTTTTGTTAGGTACAAAATTAAGTATTTTCATATAGTTTCAAGTTAAATATTGTGAAATATTTGTATTTTTATTTACCAGGATAATATTATATACTCATTTATTGTCCCCGTTCAAGTAATACATAACACTGTAAATTGTATGTACAGATAAATTAATTTTACTCCGTTATTTTAAAGATTATAGTGAATTGAATTGATCTATTATCAAAAGGTAAGAGTATTATTTAAGGCTTTTGTAGACTTCTTTTTATATTTTAATTTTGAAGTTATATAATATAGTTATTTTAAAATTGTAGACAAGTACACAATCGTATACAATAGTGTAAAATAGATTATTCTGAACTTAAAATTAGGTATTTGATGCATTGCTGTGTGGCAGTTAGATGGAGACAATGTCATACATAATTTATTAATGCATATCAATATATTATAGATAATTTTAACCAAAAGACAATAAAATATAACATACTTTTGTATTAATATACATTAACTATAGCTGATGTCCTATACTCCTATTAATTTCTTTATTATATATGTGTTATATGAATACAATGTACCTACTAGAGTTTACTGGTATTCGTCAAAATTAACTTAAATATAATATATTGTCTATAAAATCAGGCTTACATATAAAACAAACAATATTTGAAATTCAAATTGTAATTATATTACATACTTATTATTATGAGTCTTAACTTCATTAGAAAAAAAATGTTTACATAATTAATTGATCATAATGCACACAATGATATGTTATTAAACCTTTTCAGAATACGAAACAGCCAAATCAAGTAAATCATTTGAATTTATACATAATTTTTCATTTTAAATCCATTAGTTTTATCAATATTAATAGTACAGTAATTATAAATAATTATATTGGAATTTGTAATTTATTCGGTTGATGTTGATCAGACATACATGATTTCATCATAATTTCCTGAAATACATTAATTAAGATGACTTTAAAATTTAGAATAACAGTTAACTATTTATATGATACTTAAGAGGATGTCACACCCGCATTTGTTGTCTCCGTCTTACAAATGTACAACATACCAAAAACAGTTTTGGGTGGGACAACTTTTATCTTTCTGTGTTTGTAGTAGTGGCTCCAAAATTTCTGACCATATAGGGTGGAAAATTATCTATGCAACAGAGTGCTTATAATTTAGACAGCATAAATACAATTAAAGTTTTTTGCTTCTAAACATTTGGTTTTTTTGTTTTTTTCATTTGCTTATACAAAATGATTGGATAGTGCTATTAACACGTAAACCGCCAGCGGCCTTACAGCAATATTCAAATTCTATACTTTTATGCCCGCTGGCGCCCATAGTTGATCATTACTAAAATATGACCGCCGGCGACCATAAATGAATATGGTTTTATAATATTAACTTTTCCATGGCGCTACAATAATGCACCAAAAAAGTGCTGTGGCGTAGCGTGAATCATAACAAATTTTTCGATGTAAAAAAATATTTTTTAAATTTTTTTTTGTATTTTTAAACTTTTTTCAAATAAATAGTATATAATACAAATTTGGAATGACACTGAAAAATACACTTGCCGTACAGATGATGCATAATTGTGTGACCGCAGGCGGGCATATGGCGGTTAACATGTTAAAAAAAAAAGCAGGTTGTTGCAAAGATAAAGTTCTTCTTTACATGTTGTGAAAATTTGGTAGTTCTACAACAAATATGGCGTGAGAAAAGTTGTTCCGTGCAAAACAGTTTTTTGCTATGTTGTACATTTGTAAGACAGAGACAACATGCGGGTAAGACATCCTCTGAATACATACAAATATACATTAAATTATTATCTACTTACAGCGCTTAGCTTTAGCTTCGGCAGCATCTGAGGCTGCAACAAAGGTTCTTTGTAATTTTCCTTTACGTTTTTCTCTTAGGTCATCAGCTAAACCTTCAGATAATGTTTCAATAAGGTCCATGACTTTTTTAGGGTACCTTGAAAAGTTAAATTTATTAAAAATCAATACACATACTGTAATTTACAGCTTGATTAAAAAATATCAGTATTAAATATTGTGTAGATCAATTAAAGTTTGAACTCACTGGCATCCTAAAAACTCAATATTAAAAAAGACTTGGGCTAAACAAACTAATCGATCTTCAGGAAATTTATCTTGATGAGCAACTAAAAACTGACGCCTAAACTGCCAATGATCTTCATATTCATGTTCAGATCTGTATTTATCAACATCCCAAGATGAGTCAAATGTCATAATTATACCTTTAGTAACAAAATACGAAAATTAAATAGAAGCTATAACATTTATTAGTCCAAATAAATAAATAATAAGTAACAAATTCAATAGATATTTATAATAACATAAACTCTGGACAATTGATTTAAGTATTTAACAAACTTACTATTTTAGAAATCTTCGTGTATCACTTGATCTTCGACCTTTTAAGGAAAATCAATTCCAAATTCCGAAACCCCGAAGTAAGTCTTCAAATCAAAAAAGTAGCTTGTCGTTAGTTGTTTTTTTTTTTTTTCCTGAAGCCTGAAGTGCTGAAGTATAAAACTTTAGGAAAAGTAAACAAATAATTATTGTTGATGTTCCGGTGATAACACGATATGATAACACGTGATAATAATTAATATAAAAATTAAAAATCAACCGATATATTTTTTTAAAACGACATGTTTTTATCATAGGCCTTATACCCAAGAGGGCATAAATGCAGTTTAGCTCCCAAGCGATTTTTTGGGATTTTTTGAATAATGGAGATGTCGAGAATATTCCACAAATTCAAGTCAAAAAAGGTGGGTAAGTAGATGTCGCTCTGCTGTACAGTAGGTAGGACGTAGGTTACAAGTGGGTCACTGTATAATGGATGCTATTAAATTTGAACTCAATGATACAATATCATTGTATAAGAAAAACGATTCTGAGCGAAGACGGTATGTCAGTCTAGGTTTAAGACAAATTATATACATACCTATGGTATTAAAAAAAATTGACCTATAATAAATTCCAAATTAATCATATCACATTATCACAATATCCATTAGGTACTTATAACACAAGGTTTATAGATAATACAGGTTGCCTCACTTCTAAATTTACGAAAAAATGAGAGTGGGGGGAATAACGCTCCTGACGTCACTGCCGGAACACGAACACCGGCACACACCGCAAAAAACATGTTTTATGCGTAAACGTTATGCTTAATTTCTATAATTTAGACGTAATTGCTGATTAATTATATTAATTTTATAATTTAGAGTAGTATAATATACAATAATCATGAGTTCCATGAACATGACTATCTACTTCCTTCGTGGATTGATTATTTATCATATGGTGGCCTAATAGTCCCTAGTAATAACTTTAAAAAACACATTTTTAGAGCTGAAAGAGTTTTTAAAAAAATTACCAAGCAGAAAATCCCTAAAGGACCAGGTGTAGTAAAACAACTTTTACATAAAATAATGAATAGAATGGATATTGAAGAAAAGTATAGACCAGTTATACATACATTTGTAAGGCAAAGGATCTTTATTCGTATGAAATATGCAAATAAAAATCATCAAATTTTAGCTTCAAAAAGAAAAGCAAAGTTACAGTTACAAGAACTACAAAAATTGAGAAAACTTATGACTTGAAAATTTATACAGAGTGATTCACTAATAATTATATTATTATTATTTTATTATATAATATTATTATATTATGAATTATATTATATTGTAATATTTGTATTTATATGAAAGAATATTAAAAATGTATGTACACAACTTGCAGATTGGTTTCTTGGTTGTCGTCTTTATTTATTTATTGATAGTTTTCTAATTGTACCTGCACAACATTTTTATTTATTGGTCAATTACAATTGGTATTATGCAAGATAAGTGTGAAATATTTTTTAGAAAGTTGATTTTTCTATCTTCAAATTAATATTTGTTGAAAGAAAAAATAGATCAATCGTTTTTATCAAATTTTAGTTTTGTTAAATTTTATTTATCATGTAAAAATACAAAATAGGTACCTACGACATATTATGTTTGAACTTTTTGTAGTTTTACTAACTTCTGTAAGTATTTTTACCATATTATTTTACTACCAAATGATATACCTATTGCATGCTGAACATAGCTGTTAGTTAAATAGTAGGAGCTATTTGTGATATACAGTGTACTCTCAATAGGTAACTTGAACCTTAATAACTAGAAATTCTCGACATCTCAAACAAATAAAATTCCCCTTCAAGTAACATAATAACACATTAAGGTTTTGATAACTCGAAATTTTTAATAATTCGGACTTTTTTCCCCCAGTGGGCCGTGAGCTTCGAGTTACTGATTTTACACTGTATTAAAAATAAATATATTATATTCGATAATTATTATTTATTATATAATTAAACAGCTGGTAAATCAAATGAATAATTCCTTAATAATTAAGTTATCAAAATCAAAAGAAAGTATGTAAAAAATGATTTTATTAATTATTATACTGTTGAAAATAAGTAAATGATACATTGTACCGCACTACGGCAGTCGATTGTTCCGGCAATGACGTCAGTAGACGAGGAACGGTACGGGGGGAAACGTTTTGTTTACATGACTATGAGGCAACCTGTATAATCTATAAACCTTGCTTATAACACGTTATACATCAACATCAATAACAAACCCTGATACTATTACTATCATAGATATATAATAGTACACTTTAGAAGTTTTAAGTAGGTACCCACGAATAATATTATATTATAACAACAAAATAACTAGGTTTTTTAATATGTAATTTGAACATAAAATGACTATAAAAATAAACTGTGATTGTATATTTTTTAGATTTTTCGGTAAGAGAATTAACTACATACGTGGAATCTTGTTTTAAATTTTCAATCCTTAGCTATAAAAACTGAACATTTTATAATTTATTAATTAGGATGATTAATAATTTTCGAGATTTTGAAAAATTCTGTCAAAATTCGATGTTTAAATGCTTATAAAAAAAATTGTGCCAATGTATTTTTAATATTTTTCAACTGATATTGTAACAATATAGCAGGAGCCTTGTATTAAATTTTTACACTTTTTGGCCCAACAGATAAAACTTTATTGATATTCATAGAAAAAAAAACTAAAAAAATTGAAAAATGAAAATATCCGTAAACAGCTCAAAAAGAGTCAAAATATTTTCAAAATTGTATGGTGTATAGGAAATGCTAATATAAACATTCAGTGAAATTGTCATGTATCTATAGTTATTCGTTTATGAATAACAACAAAATAAGGAAATCGCTACATGAGAAATCGAGTGAACATCCAACGATATTCACTTTCCAATCGAACAAGATACTGAAGTCGAAAATCGAAGCATTATTTCGACTACTTATCGTGTACACAGACACAAAAATAAAAAATAAAAAAACACATCATTGTAAAATCAATACATTCATCGTTCCACTCAGAATCTAAAAAGAAAATTCTAAAACTTTATTATTTGAAAATGCAGTTTTTCAGTTCCCAACAGTTTTTACATTGTAATCGTTCTATTCATGACAAAATATTTTAATATTTTAATATTTAAATATTATCTATTTTGTCATGGTTCTATTAATTTACCCATGCCCCCCCCCCACCATCGGGGTTTTTTTTTTTGTATAACTTTTGGCCTCCTAAAAAAATAAATTTTATTTAATAAACTGTATTTTTCCAAAGGTAAAATGTGATGTCGCTGTCTCAATACTCAAGGAAAAAACATTTCTATAGCGGCTACATGACTAAATTTATGTTTTTAAAAAAATGCCGTATATTAAATCTAGACCCTATTATTGAATTTTTCCGTTTAGCCTGTAACTTATACGATCCAAATAAATATAACAACGATAGGGTCGACGTTTCTGATGACGACGATACTGATATAATTTCATATACATTATCTAAATCTGTACATTTTGATTTGTTATTGCTTATTATTTTTAACACGTTCAATGCCATTTTAAACTAGTATTTGACATAGGAAAAGTACCTCGGGTCGCCTTTGTTGACCGTACGTAATTTTGGCTCGGCGACGCGGGCTCCGCAGCAGCGCCGAAAACACTAGCGGAGCTCCACGTGTAAACCAATTTCTCCCAAACCAAAAAATATGTTAGTTCTGATTTCACCAAAAACTTATTTATGTTATTACTCATCGAATGAAAAAATAGTAAAAAAATCAATTTTGAGTTTCTCAAATATGCAAATGTTTGAAATAACTTTATAATTCAGTTTTATGTGGTTTATTAACAATAACATAAAAAGTAAGTACGATAGGCAAATTCTGATTCCACCAAAATGTTGAGCATATAAATACAAACATTTCTAAAAAAAAAAATTCTAAAAACTTAAATTTTTGGTATTTTAAATTCAAAAACACGATTTTTGAAAAAATTGAGCATTTTGAAGTTTTTTTACCATAACTTCCAAAATAAGTTCGACCGGCATTTTTTGAAAGCACCATCAAATCAGGTATGCAAAAACACACATTTTGAAAAAAAAATATTCCGAAAATCGCTTGGGAGCTAAACTGCATTCGTTCCCAAAATTTGGTACTCATTTCCTACATTGTAAATTAATTTTGTCAAGTATGCTAATTATAAATTTAAAAAAAATTTTAATGTTTGAAAAGATTGAATTATTAGTAATTGATTAATTCTTAATTTTAATATATTCATGGTATAGCTGGTGACGAATGACTTAATTTGACTATTTGAGGTACGTGCCTCAGTTTAAAGGGTGGTAGGTGTCCTGGAGATTAGGGGCATTTCACATACAATAAATAATTTATTAAGTACACTGTACACACCGCAACTACCAAGACTAATCCAATCTTTCTCAGCTACCATTTACGTAAATACGTAATTACTAATAGAAGTATTTATAATCTCTAATATAAATTATTGTGCCTCATAAGTTAGGTAATGAAGTTCGCCACCAGTGGCGACATTTGGGGGGTGGCTACTGCATGGGGCATTTACCAGTTACCACAGTCTAGTATTTACATCCACCAAGTCGGCACATTTACCCCCCCCCCCCCTTAATCGCTATGGCACTATGCTATGAGAATCCGAGTGAAAAAAATGTTGAATTGGATAAGCAGTGAAAAGTTGCCCTAGTCTAATAAAAACTGAAATGACGCCACTGTTCGCCACGCCACTGATTCTATTCACTATTGTTCTATACTTCTATATGCTATTGAGTATTGGCGATTTGTGATTTCGG